GCAAGGAAATGAGCGATTACTCTTGCAAATACTATAATAAATCGGTTGATTTCAGTGGTGTTTAGAAAGAGGTTGTTTTCTTAGATGTGGATTGATTAAGTTTTAGGTTGATTAGAATTATTATTACAAGGTGATACTAGTAGTGGACAGTTTGATGCAACGATTTCATTCGCTGATGGCTATTCAGGGTCTCATAGAAACTATAAGTATTATCAATGGTGCTGGCTACTAAAAGTGGATGGGGCCAAAATGACGAGAAATTTATGAATGCATATGCGTAGCCTAGATGGTCTTTCTTTAGCTTGTAAGCACGACAAAGATTGCAAATTGTGATCTACCCACTCCCATGTTTGGGCCACGCCCTCTCCCGATTTTGTGTTCTTAAATGCACTCAAACATTTCATGCCATCCAGATCCGTTTGGTTTTGGTGGCATCACTAATCGCGGACGTTACGAATCCAATAAAGACACCAATGGCTGCAACATCGCAAACGGTCACTCACTTTTATCGAGACAACTAAAAACGATTGTTTGATGAAAATACTCATCGTTTTATGTTATAAGTGTCAGATCACAAAGAGTAAGATTTGTTCATGTTCACAAAGAAAAAAACTTAACTGGAATGCGTCCACGCGTTTAAACTTTCCCACGCCTTCAGGTCCATTCAGGTTCAGTTCAGTTAGGGTTCACTTCTTTTGAATATTATATTTGTATGGCTGATTGTAGACTTCTTTTAGTGTCCGCTTTGCGTTGAGGAGACTTGAAACGTGCAGTGAGTTTACGACCGATAACGTTCGGTTGCAAACCTTATCAGTACCAAAGTATCCATATGAAGATTGGCACTCCTCATTTATTCAATTATAAATCTGTAGAAAATAAGACATTAAACACGTCTCAAATGTTTATTTATTTCCTTTATGTGATAAGATGAACTAATTGCTAAATCAAGCCCAAAGAGTGTAAATACGCAATGGGCCTATAACCAGTGCCGCGTTCAAAGTAATCGCCAACGAGGGTAATTTCTACTCATCCTCCGGCGACAGCAGGGAGGGTATTGCTCCGGTCCTTTACAAAAAATGACATCAGGGTCGGTGCTTAACACCTTCACTTCCTAACTCCGGTTACATGTCTAATGATGTTCCCATTCCAGTCAAACTATCCTAGTCCTGTCCTGCTTAAATTAATAGAACAGAACAGTTTTGAAAAATGGATTAACGGTTGAAAAGCGGAACAGAATAGGACGGTTTGAAAGTTTCAGGTGCGGGAACAAAATGAGCAGCTTTCGAAAAGGTAGCTAATGATCATAGAACAGAACAGTTTGAGGGACGGAACAGGACAGATTTTGTCTGTTCTTTCAACTGTTCTATGTGAAGCATTGCAGCGATACGTTACCGTTTTGGTATTATTGTCATTATCACCATTATTGTGATTATCTTTATNATTTTTATCATTATTATCACTATTGTTAAATCATTATCATTATTACTACGGGTATTATTACCATAACCATTACACTCTTATTATAAATATACTTCTCACATTTCTTCGCATTGATTTATTTGCACTTTTTAAACAGCAAAGATTTAAATAGAGAGAGATTACCATTCGCTTACTGAATTACCATTCGTAATATTATAATATAACGCAAAGTAAAAGTAATAAAGCTATTGCATGCACATATTGATATGACAATGTAAATTAATCAAGACTGAAGTGTTTTGTTCCAATGCGAGTGAATATCTGTTTCCATGACAATGTCAAGTTAACAGTCATTGCTGATATCAACAAATGAACACAACTTGCTCAACATTTCGCTATTCCGATCTCATTCAGTTGACTACGATTTCAATCAGCAAATATTTCTCTACCATTACAATGTAACGTAATATCTCGTTTGCATGCAATCTAACGTTACTACAT